AAGGACATTGAAGACAAATCCTCCACTTCTCCATTTTTCAGCTGAGAAGATTGCTGGGACAGGTTATATAGACGTCCTGAGCCTAGAGCAAAGGCTGACTGCCTCACTGTGCAACCATAAGGCACTAAGGTTTTGCAGAACACTAGTATGACTCGATTGTGCTTCTTTTCCACATATATGTCTTCCTCTTCCCCATTAGGAAGAAGGAATCAGCAAGTTTTTTATAGACGAGTATATTGCACAGCACCAAGACAGTAAGATGCTGAGGACACTCAGTCATCTCTGTTAGATTTTAAGACTTTTTACTGCTAGTAATAAGAATCAGATATAAAGCATACTTCTATAAAAACTTCAAGTTAGTGGAACAAGACCAGAATTACCAGATTTCCTTTCTCATTCCTCAATTTGTGCTACATATCAGTTATTTTACCTTGCTGACAACACTCTTATCTGTGCATATAAGGTCTGTTTGGAGAAACATTGTAGGGGCAAATACACCAAAGTCATTTTCAGTGGTATTGATTGGGTTTTACCTGTTTTGTTGATTCTCTTTAGACTCTGTCATGGTTTCCAGTTGTCACAGTCCAGTGCAAGGGTTTATTTGATCCATATATGAAAGCAAACATATTGGAGCTACTTAATCAGCCATACAGCTTCCTTATTCAGCAGGCTTCTGGCTCTTTTCTAATTAGTTACTTATTCCCAGGGCTGCTGAGCAAGAACTTCTCACCATGACAAGTGTGTTGCATCAGTTCTGTCTTTGCTACAGCTCTGGTAGCAGATCATCCAATTAACTTTAATGGATCCCCTACAAGCAAGACCAAATTGTTGCCACTGCTAAAATCAGTGATCATGGAGGAAGGGAGGAAGGAAGATTTTGTAGAGGACAAGAAGGTGTGAATCTAATTTGTAGCTTTTCAGAGGTTTGTGCCCCAGTCTGGAGGAGCAGAAGGAATGCACAGCACAGGGACATGACAGTCACATTCACAGCTGCACACAGCAGGTGGCTGTCAGCAACGACCCAGGGCTGATGACAGCCCCATCACCCTGGTAGTCTCCAAAGAGCTTCAGGACAGCCTGCCATGGCCAAGAGTGAGAGTAGGCCTCCTCAGCCCCACTAGCATGCTTGAACAGACACTGGGGAGTAACTGGGAGAAGGTCACAGGTGTCTGCAAGAGTGAAAGAAAACTAGGCATACTTTCACAATCAGTTTCTTGTTTTCCTAGGTAACCTCACATAGTGGATACTGCAAGGCCAAAGACACAGGAGAGACCAAATTTGTCTGCTCTGTCTGCAAGTGAGGGGGGAAGAAAAAGAGATACATGAAAGCTTGAATCTCAAGTAGGTGAGCACAGCAAACAAGGCTCAGGCACTGAAAAGCACTCCCATCCTCGACCCTGTGTCCCCACTCTCAGTAGGAAGTGCATGCAACCAGATGGAGAGGATGTACCACATGTATGGAAAATGAGAAATGAGGCACCTGCCTATCACTTTTCATCCATCCAAGAGCACAGAAAAGAGGACCTGAGGTCAGAAAGCATCTGTCTCACTGCATGATCCTTTGATATGTTAGAGAAAAGCTCCTCAGACCATATCAACTAAGCAGAATTCAATTTTTTTTTTGTGTAAAGGGACATCCTTCAGAGACAACATCAGTTGCAGTAGTTAATCCTGCATCTTCTTTTCCTGCCCTCTCTGCAGAAGAGGAAATAAGGGATGGCTCTGACTTGGGTCAATAGCTCTGTCTTGTCCCTCAGAAATTCCCCACCCTGGAAGGGAAAATTTATTCATCCCCCTCAAGCAGCAGCTGGCACACATTCATGAAAGTAGAAGCAGCAATAGCAAACTAGCTCCCAGGAACAAGACTCTCCTCTGTAATGAGATTTTCAAGGGGAATGTCAGACTGACAGAATTAATAAGGCTGCTTGTTTCAGGTAAGAGGAGTTAGTCATCTCATTTCGCAGTGAGATAAGAAAACCCTTGATTCGTCTCCACTATTCAGGGTAGGGAACTCTGCCACTGGTAGCTATTGTGTTTTAAATTTACCTTGACAAAAATGCAGGATTACCCTTAAAAATAAGCTCAGGTGTCTAAAAATAGCTGAAGATGATGTGGACATTGTTAAGAAACAAGCATCTCTCTACTAACCTGAATGAACAAAAGTAAGTCAGGCTCTAAACCCTCCGAAGCTGTTCTCCCCATCAGTTTCAAAATGTACTAACAGGGCATTCCCTGAATTCATCACTGGTTTGGGAGCTGGGAATCCACAGAGATTAGCTATGGGAATGAGCAAGAATCTGTATTTAGAAGATGATAAATGTCATTCTGTAAGTACTGTGGCTTTAGCTAATCTAGTTATCTAAAAAGCCCAAAACCCTAGAGACTTGGTGATTTTCTAATTAAAACCTTGCAGAAGAGGTGTCTGCAAAGCAATGATAATCTGTGACATCAGTGCACACTAGCAGTTAGAATTAATCTATTACAGTTATGATACAGGTACACAAAAATAACCCTAATTTTCTCATAGTGGAATTACAAGTAGTCTTCAACATTCGCATACCTTCCATTGCACAAAACCTACACTTGAGAATTATGTTTGCCACTGAGGGGTGCAAGCAAAGCCTCTCTTGAACGCTCTATATGCACAGGTTGAGGACCTAGAGAGCAGCTGCTCAACTTTTCTTCCAGTTGAGAGTATTCAGTTTGTATAGTGTTTGGAAGTTCTATAATTGCAGCTGGATAGGAAGCTTGCACTTTATTCCAGAGGAGTGTTCCTGTAATAATCTGAATTTCCAACAGCAAAGCTGTGCTGGAAAGCATCGAGTAAAACACTTTGGGATGCTGAAAGCGCTCCCCTGAAGGATTCCAGATCCAAATTTGTCAGCCTTCTTCCCCTCACTTAAATACTCCTTTCCAATAAAAACCAGATTTCTTTTCAAGGGGATCATAGTGTTAATACTTATTCAGCATTTGGTAAGCACATGCAAATAAATTACCACCTTTTGCCAAAGATCATTTGTCAATGTCAGTTCAAGCCTCTTACCCAGTTTATCTGATGTAAAGAAAAGAGCACCAGCCCCTCAACACTCTGTCTTTTGATTGACATACAGACTTGTAAAGAAGTAAACAAAACTCAATTCAAATATCTTCACTTCTGGGAACCAGATTACTTTTCACCTTAAGAATAGATATCAAGCACTCCTGAAGTGAATGTGGTGGCTGGAAGCTGCTCTTCAAAAAAAGACAGGGTGTTACAGCATGCTTTCATTTTGTCCAGCTAACAGGAACGTCTGGAAAAACAGATGGTCAGGGGAAAAAACAAAGGCAAAGTTAAGAACATTTATTTCACTGAAGATTTTTATATTGATGAAACTGAAGCAGACTCAAAGTGAGGAATTAAAAAAATATTTCCTTCTGAAAGTGTGAGAAAGCAATGCCTCAGGTTAGCAATTTTCCATTAATGAAATTCCAACAGAATTAGTTCAATTTGTAAAGAATTCACGTCCATTTCAATAAAATTAGACACACACCAACATCCATTCTTTCACTCTGCCTAACTCTGAACATTTGTCTTTTTCAATGACACTTAAGGTTGGTCTTGCTCTCTCTCCTTTGATAGAGAGAACCAGAGTGAAGGCCTGACCTAGGAGCAAAATTTGTGTGCTCTGCTGGCTCTGCAGCAGAACATGAGCCCTGGTCCTATATCCAGCCCTGCAATACTAGCCAGGTCTCCATGAGAAAGCAAAGCCTTGGACCAGGATGTGTGATCTGGTGTGCCAATGACACACTTGGCAACATAATGATGACTATTGCAGAAGCCCTTGCATTGCCCTTCCACTGGTACCAAGTACCATGTTACCAAAGAGAGCGTATTTTGGTGATAAAACATGCCTGCTTCCACAGACATTTCTAATTTAAATCTGAAACAATTACTGCTCACTCAAATTGTTTTCTTCTTCATCACCATAACCCATAACTGCATTATAAATGCAGCCTGAGCTAAGTTACACAGCAAAAGTTTTCAGACTCCAGCTGCAAAGTGGACAAGCAAAAGGGAATCATTAAGGCTGAAACACTTAACGCTTCTTAACCACAAGCTAGAGAAAAGCTAGATTTTTGGAAGATTTTGTGTATGATGTTCCTTGGAGAGCATGTCATATTTTGCATCAAAACAGTCTGTTGGCAGTCTTGGCCTGACTGCTTCTTCCTGTGCAGGGCTACAGACAAGTCTGCAGAGGATGAAGATGGACTAAGCTTTACCTTAAGCATTTCAATTCTTACCTGTTTTGCAGCACTCAATGTCCTGTTCATCTGAAGGGTCAGTGTTCCATATGGAATGCATTTCCAAGAGCTTTTCTTCAGCCATGGAAAGTGTTCTGTTTTTAATCCAGATCTCAAGTTTTCACACCAACAGAGCAGCAGCAACCCAAGCAACAGGTCTGCATAACATCCAGCTTCCCTACACTTAACAGTTTTTCCACCCCTTAGCCAGGGCAGCACAGGAGGAGAGATGTTGCTGCTTTGAGGAATGTAAATGACTCATGGGCTAGGATGAGCTCTAGTGGGATATGTGCTGCACACAATCAGCAACTGGCACCAAAACCAGAGAGAGATGCTGGTACTACAAGTGGGAACTATTATCAGACAGCTCATGCACCATGAGAAACAAACACCTTGGTAAGGGGAGTTTTGACACTGCATTGTTGGAAAGGCTGGCTAGATGGTTTACAACATGCTCTCTGCCTTCTTACCTTCAAATCTGTGATGAATCTCAAGATAAAGCTATCCTGAGATGAGATGGGTGCCTACAGACTTCAAGCACTTAAAACAGTCACAACCCTCCATATACAAGTTTGGAGGTGATGTCTAATTGACAGAATATGCCCTGGAAAGAATCAGTGACCTGTAAACCTTAAAATTCAGTCTTGCATGTCACAGATGTTTCTGACAGGATTTTATTGAATCATTCCCCTGAACGGTTCTTAGTGCAGAGGTTTAAGTGCAGTTTCTCCCTTTATTACTTTTATGACATACTCTGCTGGACCCTCAATGAGCCAGTGGCACTCTGTGTTCCTGGGATCCAAGCCAGGCTAATTAGCAGTATCCATCTTCCCCTCTTCCACTAACATTGTGACACTTCCACAGCCAAAACCTGCAATACTCAAAGAGATGGAATTATACTGCATTTTTAGTAAACCTGAATCTTCAAATTGATTTTTTAGGAAGCCGGGCACACTAACAATAGTTATTTTAAGGGATCAGGAAGGAGAGGAAAGGAGTTTCTACAGTATTAGTGAGGTCACCTGCTTTGGAGTCCTTATGGTTGGTTGTGAATGTGAGCTCAAAGCTGTGGCCAGAGTTGTTCCTAGCAGAAACAAACTTAACAGTGGCCTCATCTGCCTGGAAGGCTTCCCTGTAGGATCTACCTTAGGGAGACAAGAAGTCGGTGTAAGAGTGGGCTGGATATGAACACACGTATATTCAGGCAAATCTTGCAGTGTTTTGTTAGGCTAGATCCCATTAAAAAGATCTGTGTCACGGTGAGTGAAGAGACTATTTGGCTTTCATTACCTTTAAAATAGATAGCAGTGGTACAGAGAAATCGAGGAGATGGAATTTCATCCAAAACAACCAAAACCAACCACACGAATAACCAAATATTCTTAGAGGATGAATTGCATGACTAAGGATTAACATTATTACTACCACATCACCATTAGACTAAGAGTGCAGAGGCAGCCACTATTTGCAGGAAATACTTACTCATTATTGGTTCAGTGCTAAGCATACCTTACAGAGGAACAACAGACCAGATTTGTTTGTCTAATTCATGCAGTTACCCTGTAATCTGCGTGCTTATTGTGTCATATACCAAATTTTGAACCAAGGAAGACCCAGCCTTTGAGCTGTGTCTCCAAAATATATGCTACTTGCTGACTATGTTAACACATGGGAAACTCATCTGGACATGCACTAGCTAAGCAAGGCCAAGCACTCAGTTTATTCTACTACCCAAGGTCCCTAGGAGTACAACAGATGTACTGGAGACATATAGGGGGCACAGAATTATGTTCACTTGAAAGACATTTTTGAGGCACCCATCACACTGCACTAGATGCCAGCACAAATACTAGCATGCCCCTCCGTCCCACCTGCCCTGCTCCATTTGGGTGTTGTCTCTAGCTCTTTAGATTCATTGTGCAAAACCCAAAAGGCTTCTAAAAAGTCAGCTAGATTTGCTTTTTTTCATGACAATGAATGACAAGAAATTATACCCAGTGAACCCCATTCCTCTGAGGCACCCAGACTTACTGATTAGCTTTCTTCCATTCAAATAGAGGAGCACATAGTGGCAGTCACATACAGCTTGATACTTTACATCTGATTTGGTGAAGTGTACCAGGATGGTTTTGTCCTCCAGCACTGCTATATTCCAGGTGGAAAGAAGAAGGCATGTATCTGCATGACTGAGCTCAGCCTTTGTCAGTCCCACCACAGGCTGGGATTCTTCAGCAACTCCTTTCCTGAAAGCACAAACCAGAAGCTAAAAACTGCTGTCATCACCTCCACCTGGTAAATTTTATCATCTTTCCCTCAAGCATAGGCCATGTGGGAAGAAAGTTACCAGTGGCAGAAGACTGCAGTGAATTTGCTGAGCCCTAGGAGAGGACTGATGCTTCCTTGCAGCAGCGATAGCTATCTGCTGTACAACAGCTTTCTGCTGTGCGACTGACACACCACCAGCCCAGTCCATCTCATTCCACTGTCTCCTGCAGGAGCTGGAGGCTTCTTTGTGTGAGCTGACATCTATACAGCTAGACCAGAGGATAAAGGGTTCAACAGACCTCTAGTCAGACACTACTGTTTTATGAGCATGACTCATACAAATGGACTTCTTTGTCTTTCTGTATGCTCCCGCAGTGTTATCCTGCCTGGCAAGCATAGCTGGGGATCTGCATTGCAGGGAACATACAGCTGCTGTCATCCAGACACTGCTGAGTGGTGACTGAACCAGTGGTTGTCAGAGCTTCCAAGTGGGAAACACTTTCGTGAGCGCCCTGAGGAAAACTCAGTGTTTGGCTACTACAGCCAAACTACAGTTATCCGTTTTCAGGGTTGCTATCCTCCAAAGCCTGGGGAGAGCCAAATGTGGACACTTTTTCCACAGAGACTGATGCTTTGGGAACTGCACCTCACTGATGCAAGGAAAGGGCAGCTAGGGAGAGAAAAGGGTTGTATGGGGTATTGCAGTACAGGCCCTATCAGTTAGGGCATGGTCTGCGGCACTGCAGTTTTTTCAAACACAAAATGCTTGACATGCAGCTGAGAGGAGCCTCAGATAAAAGCACACAATTCCTTTCCCAAGGTCCTACTTAAAAATCCCTAAACTTTCAGGAGTTGTTCCACTGACACAATGGGCTCTCATTCTTTCAGCCTGCTAAGAGCTGATGTGGCCACTCCAAGCTCATTTTTAATGAGACACCACTTTTATGTTGGCCTTCCCTTCATTTTCTATGGGTATTTGGCCTGTGTGAATTTTGATAGCTCCCGTTTGCAAAGGATAATGCAACCACTTTGTAGCCACGTGGCTTCTGCTCCTTGCAGTTACTGCTCCCAATTAAGAGGCACCTTCATAGCTGCGGACAGTCCCCCTTTGAAAGCATAATCATTAACGATCCCTAGCAAAGCCATAATAGGTTGGGTATTAGTTAATACCAACACCTCAACTTTGATGGCTATGACAGAAATAACACTATCTCTTTAATAACTTGTATTAGCCCTGTAATCTTCTGTACAGAAAAACACGTGGCTGGCAGGGAGTTACTAGACCTGTGCCTACCTATAAAAGGCACTTCCAATAAGCCACTGAAACTGTGGCACTTACTACAGTGCCCCTGTTCTCATACACATTTAAAGTTGTTTTTGATGAGGAGATAACCCCTGATCAATCCTGCATGCTGTTTCGGGAGCACAACAGCCATTCAGATCTTGAGCTGGCAAGCTCTCAAAGCAGGCTTTTATTAGAGCAAGGCTGGTACACAGCACTCAAGGGACACCTCGCCAGGCTGGAAGGGCTGCATTCACCCAGAAAGAGGACAGCTTGAGTAGCCTTCTGCTTTTCCTTCAGGGGATGCAGGGGTCAGACCTACTGTAAAAACAGGGTTTCTGAAGGGGGATTATCTGTTTAGACCTTTGGTTTCATCACCCCAAATTAAAAGGTAATATACATTCCTGCTGATGCAATGGCTGGAAATTAAACAGAGCTGCTGTGGGAGAGGCAGAGGGAGGCAGCAATAGCAGGGCTATTTGGATTCCTATGGTGCTGCCTCCCAATACTCATGCCTACTTACTGTCATGTGCTGGACAATGAAGTTACAAACACAGCCTGGAGATGTCCTGAAGATGCCTGTTGAGCCCTGAGCCATGCTGCTTCTCCTGAGGGCATCCCGCCCTCTGGCACAACCAGCCCTGCCAAGGCAGAATCCAGGTGCCACCAGTTCTCAGACACAAAAGTGGGCCTCCAGAGTTGCCCTGTCCAAACTTCACTGGGGAGGAAAGGTACCATTTATTCCTGTGCCAGAATCCCTGACCTTCAACAGTGTTACATGACAGGCCAACACAACCTTGCTTGCTTCCCCCAGACACAGGGGGCTGGCACCATCCTTGCTCATTCAGCTATTCTGCTTAATCTAAAATGCACCAACCTAAGCTGTGTTGTTTCGCTGCCCTGATCAGACTTCCAGTTTGGCAACCTGCCCTTCTCTCTACACAAACCACTTTTTCCATGAAGAATGTAAAAATGAAAGCCATTTCACCGGCATCAGCTGCAGCACTGTTTTGAAAATGTTCACACGAGGTATGGCAGAAGACAGGGAGCTTCCCAAGCTACTGCTTGAGTAAAGAATATTCATGCACGTACACCTCAAGGAAACTAGTGTCAGCCTGGTCAGCAGCTTTCCCTCGAGTGTTTGCAAGGGGACATCAAGGGAGAGATGGGAACTGCCTTCTTTCCAACCTCCTGGTAGTACTGCCCATGCCAGGGCTCCCTTGACCATGACCTGGAGTCCCACCACTGAAGGTACTCCCTGGTTTCTGTGTGTAGAGGTCCTGCTGTTAGTAGTGCCCAGGGCAGGTCTAGGCAAGATGGCAGTCATGCTTCAGTCTCCCGCTCACATCCATACTCCCACCCACAAAAGACTCCTCCTGCCTTCATTATCCTGAAGCACCTTGTAAAGCCCTTGCTCAGCAAAGTGCTGACAGCACATCTCAGTGCTGTTGCTTCCCTTTATCCCCAGAAGAGAAGAAGGTTTGCAGGTGGACAGGACAAGCCTGCTGCCCAGCAGGAGCCAGGGCAGATAAGCCATTACCTTTCATGCATTCGCCTGTTATCAGGAAAGCCAGCACACAGCGTGGAACCCCACACCAGTGGCAGCTTCATGCCTCGGTATCACACTGCAGGTCTGACTGTCAATGAGGGGCAGCTCCACCTCCTGCAGAACCAGAACCAGTGACACAGCCACTGTGGGAGCAACGAGGCCACATGCAGCATCTGCAAGACAGCTTGCCCCTCCAGCCAAATGATAGCCAACAACAGCCCCGTTGCCTGGGATCTACATCCACCCCTTCCCCCAACACCCCAGCAAGAGGTACTGGGGGTCGCACACCAGTTGCATACCTGTGGCATTTTTTGCAGTGACATTCTGAAGCAGTTTGGGATCACTGAGCAGATGCTCCCAACTGCTTAACATGAGATAGAAGTCCTGGCTAAGAGACAGCATGCTCTCTCCTGGGAGGGCTGCTGCAGGAAGGGGGCACAGGCAAGTCTCTTCTGTCTCCTCTAATGTGGATGAGTCCCAAACCACTGGGGATGTAAAATTAAAAAGCAACATTCACAGACATTCCCATCTCCTTTAAAATCTACCAAATCTCAAGCAAGCCCAGTTCCTCTGAGGTAACAGTTTTCTGATATCTAGAGGAGTATAAAAGAGTATACATTTTTATGAACAAGGGACCTACTACTTCTGTAACACTTTGTAAGCACAGCTCTGCTTGCAGGAGACTCTGATAGGCACACATGAATATTCACAGCAGCACTGCAAAGTGCTCCAAGGTCCCATGCTGAAGGAAAATGCTGATCTGCACATCCCTACTGGGGCTGGTCCTTTGACAAGCAGAGGAGACCTGATGAGCAAGGAGCTACTTGAATTTTCCATCTGGTGGGAGTCACCTTCCCTTGCATTTCTATTTCTGAAAGTGACTCCTTTCCCTTATTCATTACCCTTTATTCCTTCAACTGTGACCAGAAGACCCTGCCATTCGTCTCACCTTTCCCTAGCCACTTGCCATACAGGATCCCAGCCTGGGAGAAGTATCCCTGTGGGGAAGGCAGATGGGCTGAACCTCATCCCCTGCAGAAGAACGGGTGCACAAAGAAGTGTATGAACCCCATGCTTCCAAGAGCATGTCTGATTTACAGCTTACAAACAGCATCCTTCAAGTCACACTGTTCCTTTTCTACCCTTCACAAAACACCACAGTTACATGTGGGTGTTTATAAACTAAGGATACAAATGGAAGTTAGAAACATATAGTTAAATTTATACATGGCAAATTCAGAGACAGAGAACAGGAAGATTATTAGCTGCCTTTGAATGTTAATGTAAGCAGGAGGATACCTGGGAAGGGGACAAAGAAAGAGGGGAAACAGCATGGCAGAGATGAGGAGACAGAACTGCCTCTGTATCAGACTCATATAGTTTGGGAAAGGCTGATGCTTGTGAGAAACTCTTTACATCATTCTCATCAAAGACCAGAGCTGGTCAGATCAGAGGACTTATGCAGGACATGAAAAACTCAAAAGATTCAATTCAATCCAGACTCATACTAATTAGTTTCCCTTGGTATTAGGAGAAAAATGGATCACAGTTCTCCTTAGCTGCCTTGACAGGGCATTGGTGGTGCCAGACCTTTAAAGAACTAATCAGGGAGCTCTGCAGTTTCTTTAGGGGTTGTCCATACTGCTCAGATGCTGGAATGGCCAGTTCATGCCAAGAGATACAACTGTTTAGCTGCAGAATACAGCACATCTCCACATCCTGCTCTGTAAGGAAACTGGCAGCCCTCCTCATGCTGCATGTCAGGATGTCTGAGCTCTGAAATGAACAGTTCTTGGGTGCAATTTCCCTTATTCCTGCCATTATGGGCAAACTGTAATCCAAGCCGGTGAGTTAGGACATGACAGTGACAGAAGGTTATTTTATGTTGGCTGATCTGCCATCTGATGGTCACAGGCAGTCATGGCCAGTTGGCTGTAACCCATCCCAGCTCTATACAACTCAGGAAATTGCTGCTGAAAAGCCTAGGAAGTTAGGGACTTGTACCAGTTCCACAACAGTGACAACCTAAAATTATCTCGGAGGCTTTGCCTTTGCCAGAAGTAGAATTTGGAGTGAGCAGCTTTTAATCCAGCCTGCTTCTCAGTGGGCAGCACCTTTGCAGCTAATAGCATAGGGTGATGGCCAGGAGGAAGCTGGTGGCTTTCCAACAGCTAGCTGAGAGTTAGCATTGGCACAACAGGGCTGAAGGAAGTTGTGCTGTTACAGCTTGTATGAGGGGAACACAAGGACATGACATAGACAGGGGTATAGACAGAGCACAGACCCTGACCGAGTGATAAACTTTTGGGACAATTAATCAAAGCCTAGGACAAAAATTAACACAATTGTGCTACTTAGATAAGAAACAAAGGCATAACTGAGGGGATATTTCTCCAGTATAGAGAACATGAGAAGGGAAGGAAGAAGGGTGTTTTTTCTGAACCAGTGGATCAGATGAGGACTTTGCCTGCATAAACCAGCCTCTTGCAGTGGTAGCTCATCCCCTTGGGTTTCCACTTATCATAGCAGGCTGGGTGCTGCAGATGCAGCAGGGTCACATCACAATCTATGTACTGCAGCCAATTAGCACGGGGTGGACGATGACACACACGACAGGGATGCTCTGTTCCTGCTTCTCCCCCTGCTGGAGGTGGCGCTCCCCCACAGTCACCACTGGGCTGGAGATTCCTGGTGGGAAAAACAAACAGTGCCTGTGTGATGAAGGAAGGGCGTGGGGCTTCAGAGCAAACTCTGACAGTGAGTCTGCAACCCAGCAAAGCGCTTCTGCCCTGGGAACTGGGGCTGGCCTTCAGTAACAACACTTTCAGCTGGGCTGATTTTATACTGGCAGCAACGCAGAGGATCCCTGACCTTCAGATGAAAAACCTGAACTTATTTTTGAATGGATAGAATCATAGAATGATTAGGGTTGGAAAAGACCTTAAGATCATCCACTTCCAATCCCCCTGCCATGGATACATAGGTTTCTTGTTTCATCTGCTATCCATTAAGCCACTGTTCATACCTGCGCAGCACAGAGTTGCCAGGAAGCCTGGGGAGATGCCAGCAGATTTCACTGAAGTCAGCTCAGTACAGGGAAAAGGACAGTTTATCTTTTGCCTTAGGTCTCACTGAACCCTTGTGCTTTTTGGCCTTGAAACATGAAGTTCAGCCCTTGTTTCTTGTAGTCTGGTATCCTAAAAGGCACATGAGAAACTTTAAAAGCAGTGGGAACTGATTGCCAAGTCATTTTGGCCCCATAAATCCTCTTTTCTGATTTTATCAGTGAATTTATGGAAGGAGCAGAGGCCTACATCCAGGAGCTTTATGAGACTAGGCAAGTATGGCCATTATGGTTTTTCTGTATATTTTATAAAGACTGTAATGTCACAGTTAAGCTTAGAGCAATCAGCTCCAGCAGAGTCAAAACACCATTCACTATTTCTTTTAGCAGTTAAGTAGATAGCTACGCTATCAGAGTTACCAAATAGATGGGTGTTATATCCCATCTTTAGCAAACCAGATCTTTAGCAAAGGAGTTTACTCTTTTGCCACCAGCTCTGGGGCACAGGGTAGGGCAGTTTTACACTCAGTAGGAGACTTGAATTGGGTTCATTGGTCCACCTGGTAACAAACACTGCAAGAAATGCCCACAGGAGCCATACAACTCACCTGTGTTTCGGCTGTCAGCGTTCGGTGTTACCAGCTCCCACAACACAGGGAGTGTTTGCCATGAGAGCTGATTAAAGGTCTGCCTGAACTATTACGGAACTAGGACAAAACCCAGACCTGAAGTGACTGCCATTTGTCTCCAGAATATTTTTACTTGAGAGTCCAGTGCTCAGACAAGAGCTTTAAAGTCTATTTACTACTGAGTTTTAGTAGGTTTGTTTTGGTTTTTTTTAACCCTTGTCCTCAATCTCTTCTCTAACCCCACAGGACTGCAAGAAAGTCTGACTGCTGTGAATTACCACCGTGCTATTTAACCCATGCAGCCCCTGGAGGTGGCAAGTCTGGGCAGCTTGGCTTGAGGAGGATAGTACACACTTTATTATGGCTGCATGCCCTGATGCACAGCCCCAGACATTTTGAATCAAGGTATGGAGGAGTTCAGCCTGAGCCTTTGCTTCAAGCTTTCTACTAAATTAAGATTTCTCCTTTTTTCCCCTCCCCATTCAGGGAAACCCTTCCTCTCATTTTCTGATGAATTTACTAGTGGCACAGCTCAACTTTAATCCCAGAACGCAGTTTACTGGAACTGGAAAGTTCCCATACTTCCCAGCAATGTCTGATACCAGGATTGCCTGGCAATGCAAATGCTGCAGTAATGGGAACATCAGAACAGCACTGGCAGCATAACACAGAGATTAAAAGCACCGGCTAGTTCTGCACAGAACAGAGAAACAAGGACGTGCCTCATTATCAAGGTTACTCTTGTGCATTGAATTTTTTATACCATAGCAACTTTCTCGTTATTCAACATTAGTCCTCAAAAATGATGCTCAAATTGAGCGAGAAACAGATGTGAAGCTGACTGGTTGGCAATTATGTTTTAATGGATTATAAAAGGGCTGGCAAAGGGGCCACTTATATCATTGTCCCTGCACATTAAGCGGTCTTTAGCACATCCCATGAAGCTGGTCTTGCATTAAAAGTAGAGAAACAAAAGTGACTGCTAGGAGTTAACATGACAGTTACCAGAGCTGCTTTTACCAGGAAG